CTCGAATCAATGAATTAATATATTATGTATGATAAATTATTTATGAATTTTCAAAACAAAAAATTAGGTAGTAAGTACCTATTTTAAATGCTGAGTGATTTCTAAAAAAGACCAACGACCGTTAACAAGGAAACATTCGAGAAATGATAAGACACAGTTGACTGTTTCAAAACATTTATTAGAATCTTTTAATAATGGCACATTAAAAATAACTCATTAGGAGTCATAAATAATATTTTGCAATTAAAGAAAACCGGGTCATGATGATCCTCTTAAGGATATTAAAAATAAAAAATAACTCTACTGTATGATAGTCGACTTAAAAAATTTTTTTTATCCATTCCTACATTTTTCAAGTGGTAGATCATTTTGACCCAGTTTATTTTTATTTATTATTTTGGTAAAAATCCAAAACTACTCTATTTAATGATTAAATGTATCATGTTTATAAGCTAGGCAATTTTCTAATAGATCTATTAATAATGTGATACCTAAATGGTAATATATTCATGAAATTTCACGGTAATAAGAGCAATTAGGAGTGATTAGTTACAGCATTTTTGCCACATGAATAAACCAAAATGAAGAAGGTATAACGAACTGTGGCAGCATAATATCCAAAACACAAACAATTGAAAGGTGAAGTCTCCAGTTGCAGCCACGAGGACCGTCAGGTGGCAAGCAGGTTCGAGTTCTTCTTTTGCCTCTTGTTATATTTGTAGATCTTACATCGACTCTTAAGTTTACCCTCGAGCACACTAAAGTCTCTCGCCTGCTGCCTTTTTAGTGTCTTCTCTCTTCAGTAACTAACGGGTGCCTGTACAGCTATAGTGTTTGCCACCTGTTCCTTGAGCTCGTGCATACTATCAAACTATCAAAGAGCATAGATGTAAGTATAGTGCCTCCATCTGATCCACTCGATCTTTTACACTTGCGGAAGCACTGCAAAAAATCTCATGTTCCTCAAGATTTCAGAATTTCATGCTTTTTGGCCGCAATCGAGATCTTTTAGGGGGAATTAGATCCAACTACCACCTGCTTAATCCATTTATTCTTGACTGATCAGGTGGAATAACGAGGGTAAGAGAAAAAGACCAACAGTCAAATTTTATCTTAAATGTGGATTGTATTACATGATGATACTCTTTTTGAGATAACAACACAATCAACTTGTAGAATATATTTTTCTATTTTCAATTAATCTCATAACAAGACATAGCAGAATCAAGACAGAATCTTGACAAATCTATCAACCTTGTACTAAATTTTCCTAATTCTAGAATATAGTTTTTATCAATATGGATATATCTGGTACAAAAAAAAATAGATTTTTACCTAAACATTGAATTAAATATTCCTTTTAGAATGTTGTAGAATCAATCAGCACTTGAATAAGAAAAATAAAAAGATATCAAAATTTATTTTCTGAAATACTTCTGGATGTTGATATAAAGACTCTTGAAATTAGCTTCAACGATTGTTGAGCAAATATTAATTCCAAATGATGAGTACCTTTTTGTAATATTCGAGTTTTGTAAAGCATTCCATGCATTCCAAATTTTTGGGTAGATTGAGTGTATATGTTAGAGTGTCAGCAACTGTTCCGTTACCTCTACATTAACCTTATGGTAAAAAAATGACCAATAAATACTCGAGAGTCATTTTATGCGTATTCCAGAAGCAAGTGGTACAAAGACAAACGCCCGTAAATTCTCCCAACAACTGTCCTGATATCTGATTGCTTTATCGGCATTTACAAGTGTAATTTCAATGTATAAATCATGCAAAAAATGAGACTCATAAATTTGAAGAGAGGACACAGTTGACGGGTGGACAAACCTGGTATAAAAGAATAAAATGTGTGGTTAGACGATATGGACAGATGACAAGAGATAAACTGATACGTTTCTCTTTGATTTGTCTTCTTTGCCTAGTTGAAATAAATTGAAGGATATAATAAAATTCAATTAAATTTTTTTGTTCATTCGGTCGTTTCAAGTTTTTCTCTTCAAAATTTATAGTTCTGTTTATTCCTTCTTTGGTATAATCGATTCAAAAGTAAGTTATTTGATATCGAAATGGTACTCTGAATTATTACTTACCTAAATAATCCTCTTCTCTAATGGGCAAATTGATACAACTGAAACATAAAATACATTCGTTAAAAATAAATTTTTCAAAAACTTCTGTACTAATTTAAATTTATTTCTAATTAGTAGATTCTTTCAACAAAAATAAAACTTCAGGATAAATAATTAGTGAATTTGAATACTTTTTAAAAGTGAATTTAAAAGTATCTGATACTTTAAACATAAAAAATTCTTTTATGCCTCAAGTCTTAAGTATTTACTTAAAACTTTGGTATGAAATATATTCAAACTAATTTCTTGCGAATAAATATAAGTTCCGAAAGATAAGCTAATGACTTTAATAAACATCTTAAAATTTAGTAGACATTTTCATTTTAATTGGTTGAATTTTAATTATCTATTGTTAAAAATTATTCGAGATTTAGAATATCAATATTTTTGAAACTTACTATCAGTCTTAGATAATTTTCACATATGGAAAATATTGTGATAAAAAAGAATAAAATAAATGGCCAGCATTAAAAGTAGTTGTACAAAGTCAACGTGTAAAGAGACCGTTTTGTGACTCAATCTGAAAGCCATTAATTAGACGAAAAAAAAGATCTCTTTGACGAGGGTATGCAACCCTCAGGGTTGTAAAGAAGTAGACGAACATTAAGAGTAGTTTGAAAGTTGGTGGAGTATAAAAAAAACAAGTGCGATGATGACAAGATTTTTTTTTACTTTGAACGAGAGATAAGAAAAGGAAAGAGACGGAAGATAAAAAGAACTGAAACAGTTTATATATATTGTATAAGCTATAAAAAGATAAGTTTGCATAATATTGAAATATTTGAATAAAAATATAAAACTTATTTTTGATGGATTTCCCATATTTAACTATGATGATAAAAAAAAAAATATAAATAAATCCTCTACTTATTCATAAATATAATGTGCATTAAAAAATAATTATAATAGCATGATTTTAGATTATTCAAACTATTTTTCAAAAGGTATTGAAGGATGATAGGATAGACGATAGAGTGAGGCCTAAAAATTTTTATTTTAAAAACTATTAAAATAATTTTTATATGCACTAGGATATATAATAAAGATGAAAACTAATATAAAGAAAGGAATAAAAATACGTTATTAAAAGAGTTTTACAAACTTTTGTTATTCTGCAAAGTTTAATTATTAAATTATTATTTCGCAATGTTCTTATAAACTCATTGTAGTCTGTTATTATTGGGAAATCTCTTTCTAAAACTAATTTGAAACTTAAAGTAACTTTTATATTTCCTATTTTAAAGAGAGTGAATTAATTGATTAAAATGTATATAAAGTTTAATGACATTTATTTTTTTTAATGAAATAAAGATTTCCTAAAGATAACTTCAATTTCTATTCTTTCACCTTTTCTTTTCATAAAAAATACACTTCGGCAAAGAAATAATGGATATTGTTACTAATTTAAAACAAAAGTAACATATTTACTGATTAGTTTTTAGCAAATTGTAAATTATTTTTGAATGATACGTAAAAAAAAAAATAAAATGATGATTAAATATTAAGGATGAAAAGAGAGGATGTAGGGAATGAATTTATCTGTAATGGGTCTTAATATTTTTTATGAGGCTTTCAGAGAGAGTGGCAAAATAAAAAGAGAAAGTTTTGTCCCTCTTTTAAACGTAGTATGTACCCATGCACCCTAAGTATCTGTGTATGTAAATCGATTGGACGTTTGCGGTGTTGCCGAGTTTAGGATAAAAAATGCAATCAAAACTTACATCACAATGAATTGGAAGTCAAGTTTAATTTCGAATTAATTATAAAAATATTTATAAAGCCGAGATTTGAAAAAAAATTATTGGATAAATAAATATTGAAGATTTTATCGTGAAAATACTAAAGATACTTAAAAGCACGTTATAAATGTATTGAGATAAAGAAGACGTAGTTATATATTTTAGTAAGATGCACATACATAACTTACAATCCTTTTATCTTTTTATTCACGCTCATTTATTGCCATTTCAGGATCAATAATATTCTTTTTCTTCAAAATATGCAATAAAATCCAATTTATTATTTTTGAGTGTCTCTTATTTCTCTGGATTGTTTCTTCAACTTTTGTATCGGTCCAACGTCTTGGTTTGGTTTTTCTAGAAATTAATGATGAAATATAAATATAAGTAGAATATTAAATATCTTTAAAATATATTTTAAAATAAAAAACTTTGTTTATATAAATAATTTTGTGCTAACGATTGTCGTCGTGATACAAGAACAAAAGAGCTACGGAAAATAAATTATGTACATCCTGTCAAAAATTAATGGAAGCTCTTCTCTTCCTTCTTCTTTCTCTCCCATTTTTGTGCTTCAATTTTTAATATATATTTCTCTCGATTGTTCAATAAATTTTAAATTTCATAAGAATCAATAGAAAAGTATATAAATAAAAATGGAGTTATTTTATTTATGTAGAAAATTATTTACGAGTCAATTTATATAGACTTTATTTTGATGTAATTATTTTAGACATTTGCTCACTTGGACAATCACTTACTAATTTGTGTTAAATTTAATTACATTTTGAAGATTTATTACATGTCAACTCAGAATTCGATTCGGTTAATTTAATTATATCATAATCGAATATAATCTTGAATTACAAATGATGTATAAATCAATCTAATAATATCTGAATATACACAAATTATTACCAATCGAATTTGATCGGATAAGATATTATCGAATCAAATATACTCATATCTGTTATTATACATATAATTCAGTTCAAATTGATAATTATACTACTGATACTTAACTATAAATTAGAAAATTTCAGAATACTTCTCTAAAGTCCAAATGTGATGGTCAGTTTTAATATTATTTGATTATTAAAATAAAATAGTTGATGTCTAATTACACTTTAAAATTGACAGCATCCAGAATCGTATCAGGTAGCTCTCTTCCATGTACATCTTTAAAGTTAAGGCAAAATAGTCCAGCAACTAAACATGTTAGGATAAGAGGGATTGTCGGAGTTGGAAACTTGATGTGATTATGATTTCCAAGCCAGACAAATATTGCCCAAACTGCTCTCCAAATTCCAGAAAAAGTTCCACGCAATAATGTTGGAATAGTTCTTACATTGTAGTTGAGTAGAACCCCATAGCTCAAACTGACAAGTGAAATATTTGCAAGAAGTAATGTTATAGTTGGTCCAGTATTTAATGGCTCCATTTCGTGGAGATCAATGCCCAGTAAGACAGAGCTTAAGAATACTAAGTAAATAGAAATTTGAAGTATTTTTTTATGACCCATTAGAAATAAACAAATTTGTCCACATAACATTCCAATTAGAATAGCAAGTGCGATGAAACTGTTTGCTAGATAAGACTTGGACAATGCTTCCAAGATTGAATAATATGATGACCCAAATATAAGACCATATAAAGCGGTTAGATAAGTAATTCCAATAATTTCATATGATAGTTCTGGCTTGAAAACGATGTCCCAAATAAAAATTCTCTTTTTTGGAAGCTGATTATTTCTGTCATTGTTATCAGCGTAAATTAGCTTTAAATAAGGATTAAGATAAGACTTATTAATCTTGGCAGCTTTTTCTAGAATATCTTGAATGTCATTGATCTTATGAGTAACAAAAAGCCAAGCTGGTGATTCAGGTAAGATACGATAGAATAAAAGAATTATTAAGAAGAATAAATTAATAATTAAAACTGTTATGTCATAAGATTTGATAATATGATTGATCATTGGTGTCAGTCCTGGAAAATAAAAAGAATAGTTGATTGATAACATTATTGCAAGAAAAATTTTACCAATTCCTAAGGCAAAACAGCAACAACCAACTGCTAGAAATCCAGATCTATGAATATTACCACTAATTTCCATAATTAAAATAAAAAGAACTGCTAATCCACCATTGAAAAAACTGTTTATGAGATTGGAAATGATGAATAATATATAACTGTTAGATACAACAATAAGAATGGCTGTGATGGGCAAACAAATGCAGGAAATAAAGAGAATAGTTTTCCGACCTATCCAGTCACTTAATGTCCCCATCACCAAGTACCCTACTACTCTTCCAATGATACTTAAAGACTGCCATGTACTTGGGAAAAGCTTTCCATCAGTGCAACCTATATCAAACTACAAAGAATCATCATCAGATAAATCTATATTTATTTCTTTTATCATTAAAAAAAAAAATCTGAAGTAGAAAAGCTGTTCAAAATATCAACAATTCGTTAGATTTCTGGACAGCATCCAACTATTGATTTACTTGGTCCAGTCATTTTTTATTGATGCTGCACAAAAGTATTTAACTCACCTTTTTTGCCACATTTTGACCTTCAAAGGAATAATGAATACCGTATAAACATGGAGCAGTCTCTGTTGTTGTTATTGAAGGTCTTTCCCCCCAACTGATATTGGCTAGTTGACTGTAATCGATATTATAGACCGTACAACCTTGAAAGTAACTATCATCAAACAGCTGTTGATGCCACTTTCTGTGAGTGCAAATTCCCGTACACTGATCACAATACAAAACACTTCTTTTTAGCTTGAATCGATATTTTACTTGAATACTGAGATAATGATGCTGCATCTCTCACATCGTCTATACGGTGGCTGTAGGTGATCCACTGAATGTTTGTCCAATTATGGAGAAAATCGGGTTTTCTACACCACCAACCGTCTGGTCGTATGATTGTTTCTGTTTCAGCATTTAGCATGTAAATCAAAATGGTAAAGCTCAGCAAAAAGGTTAGTATATATTGCCAACGTCCTGTACCAATCATTTCATCAATTATATCGTTTGGAGCTTCAAGACTAGGTCTGAATAAGTTTATTTATTTATTATATGCTTTAATAAAAATATTTATTTAAATTAGAATAACTTAACCTCATGTTTGTGGAGAATGAAAAATTAGAAACAACGAAATAATGAAAAAGTAACTGAATTGATGATTTATGCAATCACTATTTTTGAGTAGAAATATATTTACAGTTTAATTTCTACTTCAATTAATTGTTATATTTTTCTACTTCTACAATTTGTGATAACATCTAGACTACTTCTTTTTTTCTAGTTGCTCACTCGTCTGAAAATGGCACGTTACTTAACACCGCTTAAGCTTTGTCGTTCAATGGTGCGAGCCAAATATCTTCGTACCTCTATATAATTCCTGTTTGTAGTATTAAAGACGGTTAATTAAACCATACGCTTCATTTGACTATATTGCACTATAACCTAGTCTTCATACCTTTATGCGTTGCATTAATAATATTGTGTTATTAGATACTTATTACATTGACATCTTTTATAGAATTTTTTAACAATTGTTTTCTTGCTAAATAATATGATAGAAATTTTCTCCATTATAAAATAGAGTAATAAGGCAATGGCATTCTTCGAGTTCCCTTGCGGGATCAATTCTATGGAAAATTCTAGTTTCCGTACCTTAATGAATTCATTATTTAATAATAAAATTATCAACTGCTATTTTTTATATTTTATTCATTTAATTCAAACTCTTTTTATGTCTATTTTTCTGTCTGGACTAAATATTAAGCATTTTTATTTTTAATGATTGTTTTTACCAAAAAAAAAAATCATCACTTGTAGTGATTAATTTTTTTTCTGCTAAATGGACAACATTTATGGAGTCTAAATTTTTTAAGTATTGACATTAAGGATTTATGAGTCTTACTTTGGAGCATCATTAAAAAAATAACTAGAGCGGTATTTTATAGGAAAAAAATGAAATAAGGGGTAGTTGAAATTTAGGTAATTCTCTAATTACGATAATAAAACAAACTATTTGAGATGATTCTCTTTAACTTTGGACGCCAAAGTGGAATGTTTGACCGCAACATCAGAAACCTTGAACCAGACCTACTTAGAAACAGAGAGAGAAATGGAGAGGTCGGTTAACCCCAGGAGAACGTAGAGAAGCTGCTAGCAGCTTATGCTGTCACAAATTTACTGTGTGTGTTTGTGTGTGTGTGAATCAAGTCAAGGGTGGACGAAAGTAAACGCGCAAAGCTCTTTAACTTAGCTATTTTAACATTATAATAAATTACTCTGCTCATTAAAATAATTATAATTACCAGTATGTTAATTATAATCTTTCATTATTTATACTTTGAAAAGATAATTATAAAAATTATTTTTTGCAATTAGTCAGGGTATAATCAATGAATGTAATATTGCCTGTTTCGTTAAAACATAGAAAAACAATGTGAAAAAGAAAAAACAAGTTTTGATTTTTATATTCAATTATTATTCAATTGAAATGTACAGATCAGAAAATCTACAAAATTTTTTTGTAGTCACCATAATAAAAATAACGATTGTTGCACCAGCAGACCTTCGATCTGTTGCTGCAACAGAATATTCTTCCTCGTGTGGGGTGGAATAGTTCAATTATGAATGTTTTGTATACAAGTACATACGATGTTTCAATGAAACTCGATTGACGAACGAAAACAAATAATTCGTCCAAGAAAAAAGTAAAACAAGTTATGAGGCTGATAACTAAAGATTGTTTTGTTTGAATAAGAAATTTATAATACACAACTGGGGAGAACGTTGGTGATTTGATGTATTGTTGTCAATTTTAAATATTAAAGCTTTTACATCAACAAATTTTACAAGTTCCAAGACTTATATTTCTTTTGCAATAATTTTTTATTAAACGTAGAATAATTTTTAAAGTTATTTTACTTGTGGTACTTAACAAAAAAAACGATTATTAAATAAATTAAATAAAGCAAGATTGAGTTAATAACAAAGTAAAGTAATTTGTAATAAAAGTAGGCTAGAGTGGTATACTTCAATTTAAATTACCTTTACTTCACTTTGATCAAGTCTTTCTGAAATTTCCTTGCTGAAGTTTATGAGATAACTTGTTAATGAGCATTATTGATTATTTAAAACGGAATATTACTTTACTTTATTGTTGAATAAATAATTGGAATATTTATTATTCAGAAGTTATTTGTAATTTATTAATTTTTTTTTTTACATAAAATATTATACTGAATAAAGTTTATTCTATTGAAACAATGGTGATAACAACAATAATAATAAACAACTTTTTTCAAACAATAAACTACATTTATTCAACTTTGGTACTATCGTAATTCAAAAACTTTTATTGATTTAAATTTTACGTACTCTTTCATTTCTATCGGAATAATTCATTTCAAAAAAGATAAAATTATATTTCCAATTTTCTGAACAGAAATTGAGTCTGAAGAAAATACAATTTGCGAGAATTTTGCATTTTCACTTTAATGATATTTATGAAAAAAAAAAAAAAAAATTATTTTTTACTTTTATAACAAGAATAAACTTTTATATTCATATCAAAATTCTCAGAGGAATGGCTACAGAAAAAAGAAAATGAAGTAAAATGGAGCTTGAAAAAAAGTTTTTCTATGCAGTGAAATCTAAAGTCAAAAGTACACGTGGAGAAAGGATGAGGGTGCTTGGAGGAAGTTGAGTGTCACTGTTGAAAAATGCATTATTCATATTTCAGTTGCGATTCTCTCTCTATTTTGGAGAAAAAATTCTCGTTTCCTCTCATATTCTTCCTTTACTATCTCGCAACAAACGTTTTTCTTTATACTTTAACTCATTTCCTAGATACTTTTGTTATTAGGGGCAACTTTATATTGCTTTATTTATGAGACAATTATTCGAAATTATACTTAACCTGAAGATAAATTCTTTTGACAAGATCGTAATGTAAAAAATTTTTAATGCCAACCCATTATATTGCTATGTTATTAAAAGTTCAATAAAATAAGACATTCCAATTTCTCTACAGGAACAATTCCAGTGAATATTCCACTTTTTTTTAGACATTTTTCTCAAATTATTCCTAACAATAAACAGCAATAAAGTTCTGATTTTCTCATTTATTTGCTATTGATTGTCACTCCGATTCAGAGATTTCATATGTTCCAATGCCGAAAGAATATTCAATCGCAATTTGTTTTGGCCAAAATTGTAGCAAAATTTTTAATAATCAATAAAGAAGATTCTAAGGGGGTAGGACAGTAAAAATATAATATTTATGATAGTTTGAAAAAGGAATAAATCAATTGTCAAGCAATAACACTTAATACGTGGGAAATAAAAATAGGAATAAAATGTGGAGTTTTAGATATAAGTACGTATGACAGATTTTAAAAATATGCTATGGAAATATATTGGGATAAAGGAAGAAAATTTTTGACATAAAAGTTATGCAAATATGTAGAAGGTTTAGATATCATTATAACTTTAATTTTTATTTGAAAAAACAAACCTTAAAATCAATTATTAAAAAAAGTAGATTTAATGTGCACATTCTCAAACTGTCATTATATGAGTTTATATAGGCTATTTCGTTATTCCTGTCGGGTTGATAGGATATAAAACGTTTCTTAGTTGTTTTATGTCCCATGAGAGAAGGGTGAAAATCATATGACCCTCGTAAATATAAAGAAAATAATTTTAACATTGTCATCATAAATAAAATGTATACATGATAAGAGTTGATTGTTATTTTAGATAAACCAACATTTTTATAGTGGGATTTTCTTCAAGTGTAAAAAAAGGATCTCATATAGACCCTTATTATTTGCTGTAATACTGATACCTGAAATATTCAATACTGGAAGTAATCCGCTTGAAACGAGCTCAGAAACAAATTGTTTTTTCATCACTTTAGCTTAGCACGTAATCGTAAATAGTTCAGCAGAAATTTTGCGATTAATGTGTGTAATAAAATCTGATGAAACAAGCAGAAAGAAAAAAAAAGAAAAATAAAAGCTTTATAAATAAAAAGAAATGGGTAGTATTTGAGATAGAAACAGTGAAAAATATGATCCATAATTTAAGTTTTTAACAGATATTTATTTCAGCTTCTCCACTAAAAGTAAATATAGACGCCATGAATGATTTAGATTTGAAAATATATCTGGTAATATCATCAGAATACTTTACGAGATAAATTATTACCTATTACATGTGTATATTACATTCCATTTTCACATTTTGTTTTTCAATATCTTACTGAGAAAATGCTAACTAAAGAAGAACTAAAATAACTGAAATTGGAGTTTATTTCTACTTATGATAGATAGTACGAAATACAAATAGGATTAGTATTTTTTGCAACCTTTAAAAAGTTTAAAGATAATATACGTTGTAGACAGAAAAAGAAAAAAGTAAATGTTTTAAAAAATCTTCTCCAGTAACTTTTGAATTTAATTTTAGATTTATTAATAAATAATGTAACTCTTTATTCGTCTTTCAAGTCAGCTAAATTTTTTTTTGAAAAATAAAGTCTTGTATTCGGCTTCTGATGAATTTTATTTGATAAAAATGTTTTTTTTTTCTATTGTTTCTGAATTATATTCAAATTTTTTAGAAATATTTTAATTAAATACTCATCAAGTGTGGCATTTGTTACGTCTATCAGAGTAAATTTATGGCTCATAGTTGACATTGTCACAGATGTTGGTCATATTAAAAGGGATGAAGTATCTCCAAACCATCCAGTGGACAGACACAGTACACAAATGAAGATGATGACAGTGTCACATGATAAT